TTATATTAAAGTTCTTGCCCTGTTACTGACATTTGGACACATAATTTTTTTTCTTAAAACCTCCATTTCTTAATGTAATATCAGGGCAATGGAATCTACCTCAGAGAACTGTGAGAATTTATATATATATATACACATATATATAATATAATATGCATATGTATATATATGTATATATGTATATACACATATATACACACACTACACACACACACACACACACACACACATACATAGTAGGTCTTCAAATAACATCAGTTTGTTCAATGCTATTTCATTATCACATTGATGAGATGTCATAGGAACTTAACTCCTATCAGCCTTAGGTAAAATTAGTTTCATCACACACTTGAAGTCACAGAACCCATCGATGACTTTACATGAGGACTTACTGTACGAATATATAGTTTTGGTTGTGGTCATTGCACTGTGTTACAGTTAGTTCAGCATGTGTGCGAGTCTCTTGAAAGACTGTTCATTAAGGAGCTCAGAGCAGGGCCCATACATACTATTCTCTTCAGAAGGCCCCATGGGTACCTAATGAGGTACTCAGCTCACGACTGGCCTTGAAAAACTGTTTACTGAATTGAATTCCAAATTAAATCTATTTCACCAATACACATCACATTTACAAATAGTGATAATGTTGTAGATCAAACAAAAAGAAATCGTCTTACTCTTTAGACATCAAAAAGAGTTCCTGAAGTAATAATACAGGATGTAAGAATCTGCATATGTGGTTATTATCAATTATTTTGTTCTGTTCTTACTGACCTTGTATTTCAAGAAATTAATATTTTATGTACCTGTTTTTAAACAGTGTTCCATCCAAAATTTGAAACAGGCATCTAATCCTACCATTTCTGCAGTAAATTTTACAGATTTAACAGGACATATTTGGAGAAAATCTTCTAGTCTTTTGATTCCAGAATTGTGATTTTCTATAATTTCCTTTTCAATATGCAGGGACAAGTTATTCCATCTTTCTTCCTCTCTTTTCTCTAGTTTAGCTAGTTGCCTCTTTTGATTTTCCTCAATAAATTTTTCTGCATTTGTCTTCTAAAACAAAACAGAGAAATAGGAAAAAAATAAAACAATAAAACAAGTGTTTCCAGAATAATACATTTTTAAAGACATATTTAGTATCTTAGGCCATTAGTTTATCATTTAGGACACTGAAGCAGCACATCAAATAGGATCTTACAGGTCCTGAATAATTAAATGAAAGCATCTATATTTATACAAGCATGATAATTCAACATTCCCTTCTCTCTCTCCTCAGCTATTGGTTTCTTTATCCAGAAAAAAAGTGTTCTGGCATTCCAAACCTGTGGGGTTGGGTCTAACTAAAACAATATCCAATAGGGATATGTATCTTTTATAAAACTAAACAAACTGTGGTGTAATTGCAAAAACTGTCCAAGAGTATACCACGTTATGCTTTATAGAAAAANCTGTAATACTCTTGGTCATGCAATAATAAAGTAAATATGTTATTTCAGAGCTGGAGCAGAAACTCCAGATCTGGAGTTGGAAACAGTATGGAGCTAGAATTCCATCCATCATCATCTAGGTTTTTTTTGTTTTGTTTTTTGTTTTTTTATTTTTTATAAAGAAAGAATTGCTTCCCTTGAGCTTGTATGTTTATTTTAGGAAAACTCTTTCCTCCTAATTTATCAGGTCCCTCAAAGGAGTAAGGGAACATAGCTCTCCCTTGGTAGGAAATTATATACTTTTGCAATATGAAGTCAGGATAGAGCAACCAACAAAGGAGATATTTCATTGATATTGTGGTTGGATTTGGACTATGAGCTCATCTCATATTCAACAATGAGATAATTTTTTGCAGTGAAATT